CTTCGGAATAGCTGTCCCACCCCCCGCCGTATAGAAAAACCATAATTCGTCAGGGTGAAAAAAAAAATTCCCATAGGGGCCTATGTATTTTGTACATAGGGGCCTATTACAGTAGTAGACTCTAAAATCTATTAGGCCTATATAGGCCTAAGCCTTTGAAACCCAACATTTTCGGCGGCTTCGTCCCCCAGGCCACTTTCGGAACATTTTAAGCCGACAAAGCCCACTCTGCTCTCGTCAGGGAAATCCGTTGGGGAATCTCCCCCGGGACCTCGGATCCCCCTCGGGCAAATCCAGGCACCATCCCTGGTTAGAAAGAACATCCTAGAAAAATAATAGTTATTCGGGTTTAAATCATGTTTATATTTAGACAGTGCTTATTTTTACAGTGCATTATATGGACGTACGGTACGGATATGCAACCAATAGGCCACTATCAATTTAGTTCAAAATATTTTAATTATGCCTGTAATGTGGCGGAAGGGGGCGCAATTTTCTACTCCTGTCCCCGGACGCCAAAACCTCTAGCTATTATACTGACTGGGCTTAGGACCTTTGGATGGGCTTCTTTTCGAGATGGGTTTTTTGTTTTTTCGACGAGGAGAGATGGGCTAAATCTTTTCGAGTTTACTTTTGCAAACTAAAGAGAGGGTCTTCCTTTCAAAAAATTGCTATACTACACGACATTTGTTTTTAAATTTATCCATGCTAATAGGCCTAGTAGTAGTACAATAAAATAATATTAACAGGCTATCATAATAATCAATGTAGCCCTAAGTACCATCTCGAAAGAAGCCCATATTATCTTGATTAGAAGCCCATGGGGTTCTATTCGAGATGGGCTTCTTTTCGAGATGACTTTTGCAAACTGAAGAAGTAGGGGGATTAGGGGAGTGGCTTGTTTTCGAGAAAGGAATCTGTTGGAGATTAAGCCCATGGGGCTTCTTATTAAGGTTTTACGGTACTGTACCGTGGTAATTATTCGTCTGTTTTTTGTTTTTGTTTTTTTCTTTTTCTCTATAGCATAGAAATTAAATTAGATCTAGGCCTATATTTTTTTTATGCTTTTTAGCTTACTCGAGGAAATTAATTGCTTGGGCTTTGGCTCCATGCAGACAAAATTATCATGGAGGTTAGCCTAAACTGTTTTGCTGGGTGGTGGAAGGGGGCTACCTGTAAAATCATGGATGAGCGTCCGGTCCCGTGAGAAAGATACTTATGGTATCCCGTGTTGCTAGGCAACATTTAAATATAGGCGGCGCTATACAATCTTCGCACAAACACACAGCTCAGCCAGGCTCAGCTGGTGCTGCTTTTTGCACCGCGAGGAGATTGCAAATTTGAGAGCCTAGGCCTAGGTACTGAATTCGAGGAACTAATTGTTATGTGTAAAAATGTATCTTTACTCACTAGTCATTATATAGGTGATTATATATAATGGCGCTAATGCACTTAAGTACTAATTTGCAAGAATACAACAAAAACTTCTTCCTTAGGTAGCCTAGGCTTAAGCCCTTGGCGTAGCCTTAGGGCCTAGGCTCAGGCCTAGTACAGTAATACCCTAGCTAGCTAGCCTACCTAGACCTCCTCCCAGCCTAGCTCTGTCTGTGTTACAGTAACATTATTGTCATTTGGTCACTGTCTGTGTTACAGTAACATTATTGTCATTTGGTTACTGCTAGTTAGCTTTTCTTTTTTATTTCTGAAAAAGTTACTTAGGCCTAGGCTAGGCTGAGGCTCTATATATGGCCTAGTGAGTGGTTGAATCATGTATGTAAACATACATGTTTTGTAATTTGTATTAAAAATATTATGATATGTTGAAACTGTGAGAAAAACATTGAGGTAAAAAAATTAAGAATTAAAAGTTAAGTGCGAAAGTGCAATGCCAACATTTGATAGCTTAAATTTTCAAATTGTAGGTCAAAAACTGGATGGATGTCAATTAAGCTAGGGGCCTCTATTCTTATTTAATATACCTACATCAAACAAAAAGACAGTAACTCCGAAAAGAGACAGAGACATTTTGATATTCAAAATCACTTTCATGTTTTTGCGGACCCCCTAGGATAGTGTTGTCTTGATCGGCCCAACTTTAGGCCCCCTTTTCGGCCACCCTTCCCCCTTTTGGACACTGTGGATCCACCTCTGTATAATGTAACTCTATTTTTAGTATTATTTTTTATTCTCTTAATTTCAGGACAGTAAATTTCACAGGTATGTGCCACATTCATTACAACGATAATGAGCATTGGACAATGTGAACTGGAGATTCTTGTTGAACTCCGAGAATTGAGTTTGAACTCTTCGGGGACATTTTCTGTCGTGTTGTCTCTACAAAGTTCAGATTCAGAAAAACTGACAAAAGACGTCTTTTTTGAGGTCGATAATCATGGCAAAGAGCAGGGGCACAGTACAAATATAGGCAGTGTTGAAGTACCACAAGTTCTAGTTGGGAAGGCTGTGAAATTTCAAAAGAAAGTAAAATTTTATATTTCTAAAGGTTAGTGTATTTTATTTTTATTTATTTGTACTTTATACTGAGTTTCTATATATAATGTTACTGTTCTTCCAAAGGACCCAGTAAAAAAAATAATACCATTTTGTAGAAAAACATCTTATCAATTATCATTTGTTCCATCTGTTGTAAAGTCCTGGAATGAATTAAATAATCATATTAAAAACTCTCCGTCAATTTATGTTTTTAAAGAAACATTAAATAAATTCCACCTTTCAAAGGACAGACAAAGGATTAATATGAGATTGGTGATAAACATGTAAACCAAATTCATACTAAAATACCTCTTGGATTTAGAGGCTTAAACTGAGGCTTATGGTCTGTAAAATGACTCAAAATGTGCATGTGGACACAAAGTTGAGGATCCACGTCACTTGTTTTTTCTCTGCCCTATTTATGATACAGAAAGAAAAGAACTGCTCACAAATGTTGAAACAATTGTAACCCATGACGCTTCTTTACATTTTAATTTTAATTTCGGAGCCTCTGTGAAATATTGAATTAAAAAAAAAGGAAGGGGGCCCAGTACGCATTAAGCCCAACTCAGACAGCGTTGTAAATCACAGCCCGATGTGAATTATCATTTGGAACAGTTTATAACTGGGAGTTCTCCTTATAATACAGTATTATTATTCATTATTATAACTTGTACTGTAACTAATATTTATTATATTGCATTTCTGTCTTCAATTTCAACAAAAGGTATTTTCAAGGATGATGATGAATCTTCCCTCATCCTTCTGGTGGATGTCTTTAAAAAGAATGATGTTAACGTGAAAGAATGCTCCTCTCGGGTAGTCATCTTCCAGTCTCCTGGTTCTCTACCAGAACCTGGTCCTGATATGACAGTTACCAGTGTCAAAAAGAACATTCTAAACTTGACAAGTAAACTGCCAGACGAAGGCATAACGATTCACATTGGTCGGGTCATTTGCAGTTATTCATTGAAGGCTAACAAAGTTAAGCAAACCCCTGAACCAAGTCCTGAACCAAGTCCTGAACCTACACTTCCACCACCACCTCCACTATTACCAACAGCAGAAGTTGAAGATAAACCAAAAGAAGATGTTAAAGTAAACATGAATTTTATTAAGCATTTTTATTCATGTAATCGCAATCACAACAATCACAAATCAATTTATTCAATCATACATAAAATTAAAGCTTAACAAAAAGTAAACAAGAAAATTTTATAATCTGGGAGATTCTCATTTGAAGCATGAGAGCCACCCAGCAAATTAAATAATGAAAATTTGAAAAAAAAAAACAAGATTTGTAACATCTAGTTGTCTTCCATCCAGTCCAACCCCCACCCTACTGGAAATGTTCAAGAAGCCAAAAAAATTTTGCTCAAGTAGCTTAAAATTACCTTATTTTGTGAGATATAGCGGCCCTCACTTAATCATCGATAGCCTTCCCTTCCCCCCCACCTTTTAAGACTCCCAGAAGCACCACATTGTGTACAAACAATAATAGTGTGTCTGCTAAAGACTGACATAAGAAGATGAGCTAAACAGCAACAACAAAAACCCCATAGATCTACTACACAATGTTATGCGTTTCCATATTTTCTGATAAATATTAAGTACAAATATTAACATCTTTGAACATGTTGTTGACAGCTAACTCATGTTCAAATCTACAAATACAAGAAGTTTTGTAACAATCGCATTGCATTGAGCCATGATTTATTACTCTGTGGAAACACTGTTATCTACAGTATGGGTGTGTTTGATTTCATACCCAAGTGGTTTGTCAACTAATTCACTGTTTAGTTGAGTGACATAAAATTTGAATATTATTATTATAACAATTAGTTGCCTTATCATCAATCAACTTTTGTACTCTTTGATAAACGCAGAAAACTCTACCCAAGAAAAAAGGTTCTGAACGGTACCGTAGACATATCGTGTCACAACTTGGCAGAGAAGAGGTCATTGTTCATGTGCATGCTGCAAGCGGACTTCCAAATTTGTTACAAGATTCAAGCCCACCTTTCCCGTATGTTTCAGGGTAAGGGTTGTGTTCTTAGTTTACATTCTTTTATTTCCTTTTTAATGTTCATATTTAATTGTCCTTGGAAAGGGGCTACTTGAACAGACTCAAAAAAGTTTCTGCCTCATCTTTTACCATTTTTCCACCATCACTATAATGTTGTTTACTTTGATTAGCTCTATTTTCTCGTATTAGCATGTTTGTTTACAGATACAGTTCAGTCCAGTTCAGTTTATTCTGGAAAAACAACATACTATACAAGCAAAGTACAAACACACGAAACAAACAAAAATGTCACAAATGTTGGCCCAGGGGACGCCAACAGTAAACCTAATCACTTTCCGATGGATTTCCAAACCAGGTACTTGCCTAAGTCGACTTTGACTCGAATAATTTCCAAGTCGATTTTATTTTACATGCCAAATTGTTGTGTTTACCATTAATTAAAGATCTGTAAGTCAAATTTTATCTAAATCAAACAATTTTGCAATGCCATTTTGGATTTAGCTTAGGAAAGTTTAACTGTAGTTCAAAAATAAATGTTGATTGTCTTGAATTTTTCTATTTTATTGTAAGGTTTTTTTTCTGGTTCTTGTCGGTAGGATTCATGAGATAGTATACCTGTGAATATCTCTGTGAGAGCAGCTGGCCCTCTCAAAGTTTATCATCCTTTAAACAGGGGATGGGCATAAAAATTGGTTGGAGGCCCAAAGTGAATTTTTTATTAAACACAGAGGGCCACACCCAGGCTTTTATGTTTCTAATGTGCTTGCAATAACTTTTACGCACTCCTTTTACACCGCTTTATGCTCAGTTTTAATTTACATTTTACAGATGATCAGTGTTGGGCCGTGAAAAACCAAGGTCTTTTCTAGCCAAAGATGGGTTGTGGGCCACACACATAAGGTTTTTAATTCATTTTCGCGGGCACAAGAAATCACTGTTAGTCTGCATGTGGGCCGCACTTTGCCCACTCCAAAACATTTAACATTTAACCTTTCTGTCCCAATTGTTGCCTCTAAATTACAGACATCTTATAAATTATACCATTGATCTGGAGTATTTCCTAAAAGATCATGCATCCATTAATTGTTCATTTTTGTTGTCAAATGCTTCATCGATTCTCTCCTCCCCACCGCTTTCAGGACTACAAAGTCGGATGAAGATGCAGGGGTGTCCCCTCAACAAACTACAAGTATTGCCAAAACGCCGACATTTTTCCCAAGCTGGGAGGAAACAATTGTTATAGAAATAGATGAGGTAGATTCTGATACAGAAGGTAATTAAGATTCATTATGTTGATAATTAAACCACACTGTCCACACTATCAAATTTTCTTTGACAAAAAACTGTGGTATGCCCATATATAGTCAAGATTTGCCCATATATAGTCAAGATTTGCCCATATATAGTCATGATGTGCCCATATATAGTCATGATGTGACCATATATAGTCATGATGTGCCCATATATAGTCATGATGTGTCTATATATAGTCATGATGTGCCCATAAATAGTCATGATGTGCCCATATATAGTCATGATGTGCCCATATATAGTCATGATGTGCCCATATAGTCATGATGTGCCTAT